GATGGGCAAGTCCCGTTCTCTGGAGGTCTGCTGCTGCTGCGCAGCGGAGAGCTGGAGAACAACTGTGGCGATGGAATCCACCTTGGCAGCGAGGCGTTCCACCATGATTTCCATCTGGTTCATCTGCGATCACAGGGTTTCGAACTCCGCTGGGTTAATTCCTGACTCAGTCATCCTGTAATGGCTGACTCGAGCTGAGCGAGAGTTGGAGATGTGGCGTGGCTTCTTAACCCAAGCGCGGGAGTGACTGACGCCGGGTTGAGTGAGCACGCTGTTTAATCTAGGAGCCGGGTGCGCAGCGGTATGAAGAAACAGCTGAGCACGGCGGTTCCCACAGCACAGGGCTGACTTCTAAGAGTTGTCAGGCCTCTTAGATCTGGCTGATCTGGTTTGCATAGGCTGAGTGATCTGAGACGATCTGGTCTGGATTCTGAGTTTGGTTTGGTGAGAACGATGACTGAGTGATTCGGCGTTGTGCGGCACTTCCTTAAATAGACTTGGCGGGTGACGTGAACCAGAAGACCAGCGCTGGGGGTGTTGGGTAATGGAGTTCCGATGGTCTGAGTGACTCTGCGGTTCCTCCCTTGAGGAGGTCGATGGTTGTGAGGGAGACTGCGTGACACTTGGATGTTTCATCCTGGACAGTGGCTCATAGACTCACTAGTCCTTGGCCTCCTTCTTTACAGCTAGGGTACAGTCTCAGGGAGCTGGATTTGGGATAAAAAAAAAAAAAATATATATATATATATATATATATATATATATATATATATATATATATATAGATAGATAGATATGCATATATAGATATATGCTTGTCCCCATGCTGCATATCAGCTGAAACCTGTTTTAGACTTTGCTTTTAACTTTGTTTGGTTTTTGTTAATTAAAAAAAATCACCAGTCCTTGTTTCGGTGTTGGAGGACTTTGACCCTCTTCAGGTGCAGAAAACTCTAGCAGCTCGGCTCATTTTGATGACCATCAGTCATCCTCCTTCAGAAAACTGCTGTAAAGTCTCTCAATTCTTCCAAATCTCTATAAACACTTTAGTTCAGGGGTGTCAAACTCATTTTAGCTCAGGGGCCACATTGAGGGAAATCTAGTCCCAAGTGGGCTGGACCGGTAAATTAAAAAAAAACTTCAGATCGTTTTCTTTGTTTTAATACAATCAATATAAAACAAGGCTGGAGCCTGAGGACAGTGTAGTACAAGTACAACACCTGAAGTGTACTTGAAAATATGAAAAAAATAAATAAAAAAAATCAATCAATAAAAAAAGCATTCCTTAGTGATTCAAAGAGCTTACAGATCACATGGCAAGATCAGTTTCATGCAGCACTTAAAGTATATTTGATTCATTTTACTTTACATCTTTTAGCTTTCACCAGCACATCAATATCAGAAGTCACATCCTGAGTGTCAGCCAACTTCAGGATGTGATTCAGGTTCTTGTGTGAGCCTTGAGCGCAGCCTTGTTTTATTTATACTCATTACAGAGAAAACTTGCTCACAAGGATAAGTTTATTTTCACTCTACATTGTAAAGTATGAAAATAAAGTTTACACAACCATCTCGCGGGCTGGATTTAACCACGCTTGCGGGCCGGATGCGGCCCACGGGCCGCATATTTGACACCCTTGCTTTAGTTCCTGTGATCATTGGTACCACAAAAGCAGTAAGAAAGGTTACACCACTCTGTGAGCTGAGATCTCAAAGAAAAAAATCCCAGCCTGCTTGATTTATTTATGCAACACCAGAAAAGTGTGAAGTTCCCCCCACCAGGCTCTCACATTATCACATCACCCTGTAGCCTTGCCGTGCTGTCAAAGAGCGACTGGTCTCTCAACACAGACGCAGAAGGTGACACTCAGTCAGTCTTCAGCTGGCCTTCCAGGTACTGTCCACTCCTGATGACCCATCAACCAGCTGGTGTACCAGCAGCTAACCCAGTCATTCACCACTGATCCAGTAGCCGTGGTGCACAGTGTGACAGTGTGATGTCCTCACATATTTTAATATTTGAACTGACAAACTTTCATTTTGACACATTTCCATGAAAAAATTTAACGCAACTTTTCTTTTTCTTTTACCTTTGTGGATGTGTGATGAGGTCATGGAACCTGTCCATGCTAACATACACCCTTGCAGCTTCATCCACAAACCCTACCTTTTAGTTTAGTTAGTTAGTTAGTTAGTGTTGGGTATTTTTATATCCCTAAAATAAACCACACAGGAGAAAAGATCAGTAAGGTTTTATACGCTAGATGCAGTGGAGAGAGACAGGCAGAGAGCCTTCAAAGGCCCTCGTCTGACATACTCTGGGTTGTCTTCTCTCACCCAAGCGGTTTTATTGAAACACAGGAAAATATGAGCAAAGAACAATCCATCACTGTCCTACACTAGCCAATTACAGCATTGCTTGTAGGCTGAGGCGGGACATTCCAAAAAGGAAGTCTTAATTTATGTCTGACAGCCAGAAGCTGCTGACTCACAGTAACTGGGATTCCTGTTGCTTCCACCAACCTCCACAGGATACCAGAGCTTGACTGAAAGGAAACAGCCCTGAGACAATCTTTAAAACATGATAACTTAAAAAGGAACATTTAAGACAATAAGATAGATTAAAAACCCTAACAGTTAGTTAGTTAGTTAGTTAGTTAGTTAGTTAGTTAGTAAGTAAGCTTGCAACTCTAATTTAGTGTCAATGTTAAATTAATTTAAATGAATTCATTTATGTAGGTTCATGATGGAAAAACAAGCATTTAAAAAATTATATTTCATTTTGTTAACTTTATTCTGCCTGTTTCAATATTCCACCAATTGGCTGAAAGTTTAGGAATTTGTGATGATTTGTGGTGATTTATGGTGATTTTTGAGGATTAGTGGTGATTTGTGGTGATTTATGATGATTTGTGATTATTTGTGATGATTAGTGGTGATTTATGATGATTTGTGGTGATTTATGGTGATTTGTGGTGATTTATGGTGATTTACGAGGATTAGTGGTGATTTGTGGTGATTTATGATGATTTGTGATTATTTGTGATGATTAGTGGTGATTTATGATGATTTGTGGTGATTTATGGTGATTTGTGGTGATTTATGGTGATTTACGAGGATTAGTGGTGATTTGTGGTGATTTATGATGATTTGTGGTGATTTGTGATGACTTGTGAAAATTTGTGATGATTTGTGGTGATTTGTGGTCGTACGAGGCTGCAACAAGAGGCAAGCGGGTAAAAATCCAGAAAGAGGTTCATCAGCGAATGTGGAGATAATTATAGATTCAACAGAGGTGGAAGGATGAGCTGGTCATGAGGGAAAAAATAAAAAGAGAAAGAGAAACAGATCATTAAACAAAAGGTTTTATGAATGTTTACAACATTTTACTGCAGAAAATTGATGAATGTAAGCAAGATACATTTACTATCAGTTAACATTTGCTGACGGTTTCCCAGATATAACACAGCCTATTTATAGAAAATAAAGCCGTCAGTACTTTTGCTTAATGTTTAAATGAGATTGTTGATGTCCACATAGGCCTCCTGCTGCAATGGTCTTATCAGCACAATAAAACACAAGCACCGTTTAAGGTCTCCGTGCTGTTTCAGATAAACCAAGTGTCCGTCAACTTTGTCTGGCTTAGTGGTCGACAATGAGATTAGAACAACCTTTGGCTACGAAAGGTCAGGAGGTTGGAGATGAAAATAGTTGGACTTACTCATGACATGCTGCTACTTGATCTTGCTGCGCCAGAGAAGGATTTGGGAGCTGGCGTCAGTCCCATGATGGTTTAATGTTGTTGACTTTCCCTCCATACGTTTCATAACCAACAGGAGGATTTAGTGGGACTTTTAAATGTGCTTGCATGAGTTTAGTGCTTGGTATAAATGTTGTTACGCAGCTGGAGGTGGTGAAAATAAATCTTGATGGGTTAATATGTGCAGTAATGGGAAGGTTGTAGGTTAAATCCCGGCTCCAGCCAGGGAATGCTGCTGCTGTGTCCTTGGGCAAGACACCTAACCCAATTTGCCTGCTGGTGGTGGTTGGAGGGACCGGTGGTGCCAGTGTATGGCAGCCTCGCCTTCATCATTGCGACCCAGAGCGGCTGTGGCTATGTTGTAGCTCATCCCCACCAGTGTGTGAATGTGTGTGTGAATGAGTGAATGACTGATCGAGTTGTGAAGTGTCTTGGGGGGTTGTAGAACCCTACGAAGTTGCTATACAGGCCATCTACCATTTCTCCAAACAAGCAGTTTTACAGATAAATTAGACTGTAATAATGGTGAAAGAAACTCACAAGCCCACCGTGTACGCCTTTAACAATAAATGATGAGAAACTGCAGCAATAATGTCCATTTTTTCCTTATTCAAAATTTGTTTTCTAGCTTGACTTTTCAGTTTCTGTGCCTTAACAGATCTGCCCAAAAGTCGCACCTCAAAGCGCACTACTCTGTTTCATCAGTAGGTGACAGTGACACGCGAGAAACCGATGGTGAAAATTATGTTTTTCTCACCTCACATCATAGAGGGCAGTGCTCTAGCGCCACCTATGGATGAGCTGCCACTGGACACTGAGTAGCTATAGAAGTTACAGTTTGTACAGAAGCAACAGAGATAGCCTTCAGTAAAAGAAAACCTTTTAAACCTTCAAACAAATCACCCACACTCTTACTGATAAATCATAGAGCAACTGGAAAAACGTCTAAATTAAATGTGAAGCATTTAGAATCCAGTTTAAGTTGGGGTTAGGGTTAAAAAACTTGCCTTGTTCCTGTTAGCTAGTGCTAGCATAGCAGCACAGCTAGCTGTTACAGGATGCTAGAAAAATAGCAGTTGAAACTCCCTTGAACCATTGCTTCAAAAGAAAGGCAATGACAGGAGGGATGATGACTAGCTTCCTGAATATCGAGGTTTGTGGAGTTATTTCTGATCTCAGATGTTATTTTTTTTAATGGGACTGGAATCTTAGTGTCTCATATCAATTCCTTTTCTCCAAGAATCCGGGTAAGAGAACGGTTGTCCAGGGATGACACACTCCAGAAGCCCCCAGACCAAAGTCCAGACAGACTGCAATCAAGCAGACACCACAGTCATGGGAGCTCTGCTCAACACGCCACTAAGCACTCAGAACAAACCCAAAGAAAGACTGGTCTCCAGGCTCAGCCCAGTCCAGGCCGCCATCCTTTGTCCACCGAGTACCAACGCTCTGGCCCTGCTATGGATGCTCAGCCTGTTTTGGCCACGACTGCTCCAGTGCCAATGGTCAAGCCCTCTGTACTCCAGGACGAACAACAACTCAGAAGAGTGAGTGTCGATCAAATCTGCGCCTCCCACAGGGAGGCAAGACAGGAGGCAAAGCAGGTCCTGAAGGAAGAAGCCCACACAGAGGGCCTGCTCAAAAGCCGGAAAGCTGTGTTACCCTCAGAGATTCGCAGAAGGGAAAGGAGTGTAGATGATCCTCACAGGGGTCAGCAAGAAGACATGGACTGGCAGAACATCAGTCTAGAACGGACAAGGAGACGTCACGATGAGGAGGACTGGGATCGGGAGCAGCCCAGAGAGAGGGGAAGGGAAAGGAGTGTTCAGAGAATCAGAGAAAGGGGAAGAGAACACCTCACCAGCCAAGACAGCCAAAAGGAGAAATTCTTTAGATCCATGCAGCCTTCCCTAACGTCTACATACCAGGAGCATAGGCAGGATCCGTCCATGCAGTCTGTGTACCATCGAGATTCCAAGCAGCAAGAACCCCCAGTGCAGCAACAGTATGAGACCAGAAGGGCAGAACATTCAGCTCAAGTTCATGTAGAACCTCAACAGCAACACCAGTACAATCACCTGAGACAGATGCAGGAAGCCCAACGACCACCTCAGGTAAGGCATGAGTATGACCTACAAACACAGGAGCTCCCAGGTAAACAACAAGAACCTCATCCTGAAGAAGAGACTGGGCTGCAGCATCACACACCAAAACAAGACCAAGGGTTGGACTCAGTCATTTACCTCCAGAAGGGCTCCTCTTTGCCTCAGGCCAAACACAGAAGCATGGAAATGGCTGGAGGACCCAAACCAAAGATACGAACTCGTTCCATGTCAGATATCGGTATAAGTCAACACTCCACTATGTATCGAGCTGAGAGAGCGGGGACCAGGGGAGAGGCATCCAGGGTTGTCCCTCCATCTGCACTGGCCAATGGGGAGACAGGAACCCTGGACACAAGGGTGTCGGTAGCACAGCTGCGACACTCCTACCTGGAGAATGCCAATCGGAAGCCTGAGTTGTAGGTTCACCTGCATGGGCTCTCTGCTGAATTTCTAAATAACTGATTATATACCTACTTGTAAGCCAGTTCCTACTAAATAACCGTGATGTAATGATGCATGAACTTAGTCATTTTCTGGTTTGCTGCTGCATGGCGACACAAAGTAATTGCTCCTATGTTTTACTCAGTTTTTTGCCACAATACTTAGATTTTGTCTTTCCTTTATTATTTTAATAATTCAAGCATGAAATCTATTAAGCCTTTTGGTAGAACCTGTATTATTATCTTATGCTTTGTTTTTATTGTCCATTTTTCCCAAACTCATCCACCACCTTAAAAGTGAGACAACTAAAGTGGATCTCCCAACTAAGGAAGTGGATCTAGCTGGTAGCAGCGACTGGGACAGGGGGGTTCGGAGACCTCGACGTTATATCGCTTCAGGGGACTCTCGCACATCAGAGAGGTTCAGGACTCAGCCCATCACTTCTGCAGAACGTCTGGAATCCGACAGGTAGACTCATGGTCTATGGTAGCATTCAGATCACGTTGTTCATCAACTTTTTTTTGATGATGTTTGTCTTTTTTTTTCCCTAGGTCACGTCTTAGCCCGTCACAACTACAGGAACCTGAAGGTATACAAGTCCTAAGCTAGGAATATTTGTAGCTAATATCATGCTTGTGCCTGTAAACGACCTAAAAGCAAATGAACATGCTGGTTTTGGAACATTTGTCCATGTTTAAACCGGACCTTCTTGTTCCTTGATGAAATGTAGGAAGTAAAAATTTCTGCAAAATTTCAGATTTTTTTATTTGCCAGAAATAAAAACTTTTCCTGATTTCTTCTCTGTTCCTTTAACAGATGAACAAAAAGTGGACGATAGAGCTAAAATGAGTGTGGCTGCAAAGAGGTCTCTCTTCAGGGTGTGTACTTTTATTTTTGTGATAACTACAGCGTGATCTGGTTCCATTAGGGCAACAGACTTTAAAATTCCATATGAATGATATTCTTTTCCCTCATCAGTGTCTGATATGAAGATTTTTCTCACAGGAGTTGGAAAAAACCACAGATGAAGCCTTCCCCAAACCCCGCTCTCGAAATGCCGCCGTAGAAAGACGTCTAAGAAGAGTTCAGGACCGTGCACAAACACAGCCTGTTACCAACAAAGAGGTGGTCTGCGCCTCAAGGTGAATCGATTTGGCTTTTCCAGCTCTGGTTTGCATATTACAGCGTGAGGATATGTCTACCTGACCATCGTCTTTTCTCCACTCTTAAGTGATCCCCCCCTGCCGTCACAACCTGATGGTGTCCACATCCACACAAGTCAGGTCTGCAGCCCCACAATGGCCAGCACCATTGTGACTAGTATCAGGTAAGCATTACATTAAAGAATGTCTTTAAGTTTACATCAACTGACTCTCCCTGGCCTTTACTGCAGCATCCAGGCCTCCTCTCAGACCAGCTCAGCGCTCCAAGAGCACAGGACTGAGACCCAGGACCAACAGAAACCGGCCCAAGCTCCCAGTGCTGGAGGACATGTTGATGAACAGGAGCCTGACCTTTCCACGCTAAGTTTGTCTGAGAAGATGGCTCTGTTCAATCGCCTTGCACATCATTCAGCAAAACCAGCAGAGGGGTCCAGAGGGGACACCCACCAGCGCAGGGCCAGCTCTCGCTTTCAGACCCAGCCCATCACCCAGGGAGAGGTGGAGCAGGTATGAGGCTTTCACCATGTGTTGTGTTGCATTAGAGGGAAAGATGGGATGATGAATCACATTATGTTGAAAATAAAAAAGTACAACAGTTCCAAATTTGTGAGAAAAGAAAAATTTAGTTTGGTCTTTTTTTTTAAACAACAAAATGCGCTTAAATTTGTAAAGTAAAAATATATGAAATCAGTGAAAAACCAAATCAAATATTAAACCACATCATTCGTTTTGTATTATCAGGTCCTTTAAGTGGTCGATGGTCCAGTCAACCACTTATAAAAAGTGAAATTGTGTTTACAAAACCACATCTGCTGAAACTTATCATAGACTTGATGCTATTGAGGATATTTAAATTCAGGCACATCTGTGGGCAGCCTGGTGCTGCTGTTGAATTTAATTCAAAAAGCATATTTATGTGCTGAAAAACAACTTTTTATTTACCTGTTTCATAATCAATACAGGGTCAGTTTTTTGATTTGTTAGATTAACTTTAGTTACTTGTTTGATTTTAATTGGGTGGAACGCAACTGAAAAGATTAATCTAATTAATCAGAAGCTTTTAAATTAATTAATTCAGATTAATCACATTTTAATCGTTCAAGAGATTTAGCCACAAAAGCAAGTTTTTTTAATCAAACAATTTAACTCAAACTTTTAATTTTTGAACAAATGTTTTTAAATTGTGTTTCAATTCAAAACTGTGAAGACTGACACCATTAAGGTCAGGTGCTTTCTTTGCTGCACAAATGTTACAGTATTAAGATTTTAGCTTACCTCGTGTTTGCACACGTCTTTAAAGCTTCCACTGTGCAGCAGCAGCGTTCAGAGACGATCACTGAAAAATATTTTTAAAAAGATTTCAGGAAGTTAAAAGAAGAGGATGACAAGTTTTCTTGAACACTGCATCTTTCCAATCAAGGCACTTTCTTAAAATTCTTCCATTTTAGTAGCTCTTATCTGTTGTGTGCGTCAGTGTAATTGGTGTACCAGGAAATCGTGTCCTGAGAAAGGTTCCACTCTGCTTGAAATGCAAGCTGTGCATAAACGTGTACATTTTTATTAATTATAATTAATGTGTTAAATTCCCATCCCTAATTTTATTACTGTGGAGTGTACAGAAGTTAGATTCAAGAGTTGGTTAATTTCCGAGTTCCAAAACTGATTCAGGTTCAGAAATGTGCTTCCGCTGCTGTTATTCATGACATTTTAGCAGCAAATAAAGTGAAAACCATTGTGAAATTGGTCATAAACACTGGCCAGAAACATCAGCAGCACACATCGGCAAAAGAAAAACCTGTATCGGTCGACCTCCGTTTTCAACCCCATTCTCCCACAAAACAACAAAAGGACTTCAAATGGTTGACAAAACTCTGTTTTCACCATCTAATCAGCAGCTGATCATGCTTAATAACTGGTTTTCACACAGGAAGCTGAGACACCAGTAACGTCAGTGGTCTGTAACGGTGACTTAGACACCAATCAGGGAGAACACGTAAGACGAATGTTGCCTTTGGTTGTTTAATCAGCTGATTGGTCCTGCTAGTGATGAGTGTTTGGGCTTTGATATAGAAATGTCTGGATTTGACTGTAATTTGTTGGTATCTGCTTCTGTAACATGCTTGTTGCACAGCAAGCATGGGATTTGACTGTCTAGTTGGATTTTTGGGGGCTTCTTTCAAAACTAACAACAATTTCAAACTTATCAAGGAAATCTTGCTTCGACACTTACTGGATGTGAAAACTCAAATCAGTCTGTTGGTTTTCTAGGACCTAGACAAGTATTAAAAGTGCGTCCAGTAAATGAGCATTGCTAAAAGACAGATTATCCGTGGCTGCAATTTAGTTTTATTCTTTGGCGCAAAAATGTTTGTTATTCGCAAATAATCGGTGCAGTTTTTCCTTGCAATAATAAATAAAACATGGCTGGAGTTTTCTACTTGATTGTTGCTTTATGAACCATTTGTCTGACTGATACTGGGCCTCCTCTGGTTGATGCAGGCTTATTCCCCCTATATGTAACGCTTAAGATAAAGGAGGGCAGTGATGTTTTTGCCTGTAAGTGTCTGCATGTGTTGGTTTGGCTGCCTGTTGATAAAGAATCTCATGAACCGCTAGACAGATATCTAGTTATTATCAGATGCACATCTATAGTTGATAAATGTTTAGGGCCAGTCCAATTCAAGATGGCCACCATAGCCAGCTGATGTAAGAAAACCCTTAAACTGGTTTGGGGGGGCATTATGCAACACTCACCTTTCACATCCTTTTGTGCTGTTTGTACTGACTCTATAAACACTCCAAGCCTGGAAAAACTCCATCCATCTGTTTTCTGTCGGTGCTTGGGTTCAGGAACTATGTGCTTAAAATAGGCTGTTTCAAAAGTCCCAGTTTGTGATGTCACAAACGGGGGAAATTACATAAAACCACCTCTCCAGGCGTGCACAGCAGCAGCAGCTTTATTTTGAGCCACTCTCTGATATCTGAGCTTCTTATCTTATAGCAGCCTGAGTGGGGGAGGGGTGGGCACAGTGGAGTCTCCACAGCATCTCTGCTACTCTGAATCGCCCACACAACACCCAGGAAACAATCAACACTTCTAGTTAATCACGTTCGGTTCGTTCCATCCATCTGACATGACTCCTGCTGCTCTTTCAGCTGAAAAATGGAGGAGAGATCAAACTGGAGCCGCTGTCAGCCTCCCTGATACGATCCGTGGCAGCCACTACCTCACAAGCCTCTGTCACTGTGGTAACCATGGCAACACTCGGCAGTGGTGCTGATGATGGGTTTCATTCAGGGAAGTCCACCACCATCCCATACGTCCCCCCTGCCCAACAACCGTCTTCCAGAGGCACAAACATCCTCCAGGAGGGGGCGCCGAGGTATTTCTCCTTGACCCAGGAGGGGCACCCTGAGCCAGAGCTCAACTCCTCCTCTCTCCACCCTGACAGCCAAGAGAAAGGGGCTCCCACTTCCTCCTTCAGTCATAGACAGCAAGGGGGGCTAGCGGGGGAGAGCTGGAAAGGGCGACAAGAGGAGAAGGAGGTTGGGGGGAGACAGCAGGGAGGAGCCAGAGAAGACAGCAGAGGAGGCTGCATTCACTCCTCTGACAAGGACCGAGGGGAGAGGCTGCAGCATCCACATCACTCCACCAAGTCGTCTTTGTGGAGGGGCGAGCCAGAGCCCCCCCTCAGCAGGAGAACTACAGACTCCCAGGAGGGAAGGGAAGCAGGGGAGGGAGGAAGAGAGAAAGGAAGCCACCTGAGAGAGGCTGCAGCAGCTCACAGCTCCCCCATACAAGAGCCGAGGGGAAGCAGTGGCCGGAGCCAAGGAGGTACCTCAGGTAAGAGGCATCTCTACAAAGAGATGAGGCGTGTGTGTGCGGGTGTGTTTGTGTGGGGGGTACATCTGGGGTTACAGATAAGAATGTGGTGACAGAAATGGTAGGAAGTGAGAAAGAGAAAGTGACAGAACCAGAGAAAGAGAAATTCCCAGTAAATGGTGCTGTTTTCATCATCTTCATTGTCTTCCAGCGTGCTCCCACGCATGGCTGCTCTGTGCCGGCAGCACACACTTGTCCCAGCTGGGAGTGTGTGATTTGGCTCCACATCTCAGGCTGAATCTAATTAGCATATTTTTTCAGGAATATACCTCGTGGAGCTCTTTGTCTGAAGGGAAGGAAGCCCTTCCCTTTGAGCTGTTTGATGCTCGTGTAGGTTTTACATTGATGCCTTCTCAGTCGTGACTCTGTAAGGGGGCGTGGTCTCTTTGCACCACACCATACTTGCGGGTGACGTGTCCATATCCTACAGTGAATTGGACCCGACCTGTTTTCATGTGCTGAAGTAGAGTGTGGTGTGGTTACTAAAAGGCTCATTTGATCAAACAACTTAGCATTCAAGTGACACCGAACACTTTCATTCCTCAGATGTGTTGGATCATTCGACACCCCTGAAGCCGTTGGTCGCTAAAGTTTCATCCAGGACTGTGTCTTATATTTCAAGTGCTCAGCAGCATCAAAGCACCCTCCAGCCTCCTCAGACTCTTCCTAAACCTCCGTTATACATCCCGCCACATTCCCAGCCCCCACCCACATACCCCAAAACTTTCACCCATTCCCTGCAAACCCTGCCCAAACCTCAGGGATTCATCCAGGTTCTCCCAAAGCCTTACCCCCAGACAGCGCTCCAGGCACTCCCCAAACTGCAGGCACCTCCTCAGACAACTCCTAAACCACAATCCTTCCCCCAGTCCCTGAACAAGGTCCAGTCCTCCTACCTGGACCATCCAGAGGACCTCAGCAGGACCAGCGTCTATTCTGGAGAGCTGCTGTCCCCCACTGAGTCTGGAGACCTGCTGCCTGACAGCATGTCCACCAAACAGATGTCTATCAAGGAGAGGTGAGTGGGGTTTATCTGGAACTCATACACTAATTATGCTATTAAAAAACCATCATAGCAACACCAAATAGGTTTGCTGCTTCTCCCTCCTACTGGTTGAAGGCTGAATTACAACTGTCAAACAACCCTCCAGCAGCTAACTGTAGCTAGCATTAAGCTAACACAACTCGACTGATAATAAACAAATAATGAAGAAAAAGGAACCATATAGTTACTTTGTTCAGTAGCAACAAAGCCAGGTCGTCATCAGTCCATGATTTTGTAGCCTGCTTTAGCTCCCTCAAACGATCGAGCGTCGTGCCGATGTTCACTCTGGTTGTAGCTCTTTGCTGCACCTCCAAAGACATTACTCTTTACTTTTACTTCCAGGCTCCACCATGATGCCAAAAAGCAAAGTTATTCTTCTTCTTCTTGTGTTTTTTATTGACAGACTGATGAAGCTAACTGCTAGCCTTTATATTAGCTACCGGCACAGTAAACAACTGTCCTATCCGAACCACAAAACTGTCACGTGTATTCTCTGGTGAGCAGAGTGCTGTCCGATGTGAAGTTGCTCAAGTTTAAGGCTCAAAAATCACTGAAACCAGTTTGAATGCAACATTGTTGCTTTAAGAGTGAAGAGTCACAAAGTTATTGATTCATTCTTGCCTAACAGGTGATCAAAGACCATAAATAAACACATAGAAATACAGAAAATAAAGCAAATATTAAATTCATTTTTATTGTATGAATAAACGCCAGGCACTTCTGCAGAGGTGTCCAAACGTTTGAAGACTGCATCAGAAATTCAGAGTTAGATGTACATCTGTAAAAAAGCCAATATCAAACATCCCTGCTATTATCTTATCATTAATATTATTGCTTTTAAAACAGTATTACCGTACAATGTGCTATATTTCTTATTGTCACAAATAAATATAAGAAAATTAAGGAAAAAGCAGTTTTTTTTCTTTGTTTTGGAAGCTAAAGTTCAAACCTGACATAAATCTAAATAATGTAAATCTAATCATGACAGTTTTTGCCTGAACGCTTGTAGAGAGCTGGAGCGCGATGATGTCCTGTGAGATTTAACAGATCTTCCTCAGAATGCCCTCATTTCTGCCCAGTCCAAACTCGAACAGCAGCAACGATGACACACTTTATTTTAACCCTCAGCCGTCCATTATTGCTTTATTTGGCTTTTGTGCCATTAGGATAGAAATATTGTGATGCAGATTAAGATTAATTAAAGTATCTTAAAAAAACAATTACACTGGTTATTAATTATGTTTTTTCTTTCCAGGTAAAAGTGCAGATTATTCAGCGAGACTCACCTATTGCTTTCAGTAGCCTCTTATGCTATTTGGTGCTGCAAAGCTGCTGAAATATGAGTAGAATTCATGAGGCACGATGCAACGACCTTTTTGTTGCAGCTTTTCTGCTGATTATGATTTTTTAAAACTTTGTGAGACTCAGCTGCACTTAGATCTTCACCAACAAAACTAGATCTTGTCTAAATAAAATTCTGCAAAACACATTAAACAGGACGTGGACACAGAAACCTGTGCAAACACGAGTGCTCTCCAGTCAAAGATTCTATCAAACTGAACCTAAATGATAACAAATCACAGATCTTAAACTGTTCCTCTGACTTTCTTCAGAGTGGCCCTGCTGAAGAAGAGTGGCGAGGAAGACTGGAGGAACAGGATCAACAAGAAACAGGAAGTGGTTAAAGTGGCGTCCACGGAGCAACCGACCCAGCAGCAGGAAACTGAGGAGAGCAGCCAGAAGGTCGGTCCAGATGACAGCGTTTGTTTTAACATCAGTTAGTTGAACCAATCCTCTAGATGGGTTTAATTACTTAAGACATTTAATCACTTTTTAAATGTAAAAATCATGGTATATTGTTGTGAAGATCCTTCATTTAGTTATTATTAAGACTTGTTTCCTGCAGCTCGTTCGCTCCACATTAGTATTCTAGGGGTAGAAAAGGCTTGTTGAAACCCTGGATGTTAATCCTCCTGGCTGTTTCCTAACAAAAGGCTGCCCCCCCTCCCCGACTGAGTACTTTCCCTCTGTTTAACCCCTCAGGAGGAAGGGGGGGTCATTCAGGACCATGCTGCCGTGTCTGCATCTGAGCAGCTCTGGGTAAGACGTTAGCAGCTCTAAACCAATCAGCTTGGAGCAGAAGCTGCACTGTCCAATCAGCTGTTGCGTGTGGCTGCTTCTCTTGAATCTTTAGGTGCTGCCCACTAAACAAAAACATAAACATAATCACTGCAGCAGATCATTTTTGACCTGTGTTTTCTCTGCTTTTGGGACTTTTCTGTCCTGGTTTGGAGAATTCAGCGTTTGCACATTCCTGCTTTGGTACTTGTATGAAATAACCGTTTTAGTGGCATGTGGCATGTCGCTGCCACTGTTTCAACAGTTTGAGAAGACTACTCAGCTGTTCAGAGACGATCTTTTATTAATAACAATACGATAAAATAAAACCAACTAATATAAACACACATAATGTGACATAATAGTATATTTGTCCTTTATTTACATTTGAAATCCACCTCAACATTGTAACAGTAATTGATTCTTTGCCATATGCAACTTTCCTGTATGATGCTATTTTTGGTAGCTTTATCTTTCGTTTGATGCTTTTTTTACATAGTCGAATGCTTCAGTCTCCCATAAACAAAAAGTCTGCACCCACAGAACTAAATAATTACCCTGCCGATATAGAAAACACTTCATTAATGTTTTGAGCTTCTGCAGAAATAATTTGAAGAAAATGTAAATTACAGATTTGGTTTAAATCCCTCACTGGTTCTTTGTTCAGCCTAAGCTTGCGTGCGTGCTGACAAATGTATTCTGCTGCAAGCAAATTTCCTCACAGCATCAGTGTTTCTGGCCTAGGTTGTCTCTGTCTTTGCATCCATCTTTAGTTCCCCACTCATTTGTCCTTATTTACACATTTTCCTGCATTTCCTCCTTTCTTTTCTTCTCCTTCAAACCCACCTCTCCATCCTCAGGAGCCTGTCTTCTCCTCCACCTTTTCTCCTACTATCTCTCTTGGCCAAAAGTGTCAGTACGTTGAGCATCATGGTCAGGTAAGGATGTGGCCTCGACATGCTCGAATGAGTCTTCGGTGTTTGGTGGCATCTCTTGTGAATGTTTCACTTTGAGATGGATCGGTGGTTATAACATGATCAGGGCTATTGTTCACTGAGGTGTGGAGATGACTGTGCAGCGCCGAGCATGCTCGGATGCATCTAATGTTACATGAATATATGTGCCTGAAGGGACATGAAGAGATTATAACAAACGTGTATCTGAGTGAGTGAAGCTTACATAATCTCCATAAACTTGATTTATGAGTTCATGGTGTCAAAAACAATTCCAGAGCTCATTGATTTGTGTGCGGTTGTGTTGCACGTTAACTTAAAATGTTATGTGTGCAGAAGGTCGGAGAGGAAATCGAGGCCCAGATGACCATCGAAGAGAGGAAACAGATGATTTCAACACGTGAGGATGCCTGGAAGAGCAAAGGGAAAGGAGCAGCTAATGACTCCACGCAGTACACTGTAGCTGCACGTATGATGAAAAAAGGTGAGTTTATAAAATGCAACCTGTTACCAAATAAATAAAAACACGTCATAAATGTTTACATTTCTGTGTCCACAGGCCTGGCAGCCTCGTCCTCAGTAATCAGTCCCATCCTGTCCCCAGTTTCCACCAAACTCAAGAGCAGCACGACCGTGGTCAACAAACCACAAGAGGGTGAGATATCCCTCGTTCCTGCGTCGTCACAGACACTTCAGTTCCACTCGGAGGTTCTCTCTAACTTGAGATGTGATTTGATCACATCATTAGGGTTATATAATTTAAAGTGAGAGGTAGTTAATGAATGAACAATAATGAGTTTTTTCAGGTGAAAAAAACATGTAACGTTTTCTTTTATAGAAATTGAAGCCAAACCTGACATGGAATCAGACAAAAAGCTGGACAAGTTGGAGAGCTTTTTGGGACGACTGAACAGCAAAGGTGTTTACACAATCACGACGAGGCAACAAACAAACACATGAACGACTTCTAAAAACAGAATTCATTCCTTTAGGCATCTACCAACCAATACATTACTGATCGTCAAACCAATCAAACAACATTACTCGCCAAACAAACCAACTGGCTGACCAACCAAACTCAAACCAGTGTCCATCGCCCACATCCACATTACAGTTATTTTACCATCCTCTCAAATTGCTCCCTGGAGCACTTTTCCAGTAAATCCATCAAAGGAGAGTTCATGAATTGTTCCAGACTATCCACTGTGTACAATTCCTCACACACCTACAAACCGAACAATCACAAACAGATTGTAAGAAATCCACTATGCTTGCTAGCCAACTACTCACAAAAAAGCTTACAAGCTAACTCGACCCCAGTCTTCATTCACAGATGTACGGTGGGATTCTTAAGCAGCAAAGCCTGCTGGAAGGGCAAGCAACCAGAAACACTCCCGAGACAACCGTTCACTTCCACACAACACCACAGAGCCTCCCCCAAACGGACCCAGACAGGGACAGATCTACGTCAACTAGAAACTCCAAAGATCCAGATTACTGCAAATAGAAACCTAAACTCTGGCTAAAAACAATTTAACACCTCACACTTCTGCAGCTTTCAGTTCATCAGCACCACTACAAATGCATAAAACCACATGTTACTGTGCACTCAGCAGCCTTTTGTTTAACATGTCTCTATTGTTTCATCTTCTGATATTTTTAGAAACAGTTTTCTACCTTTAAATCATGGATTTCTAATGAAATAAAGACCTAATGTTTACCATCTTTTCTGGCTCAGTGGCAGGTTTGCAGGAAACCACCATAACAGTGACTGAGAAAGCAGTGAAGGAAGTGATGAAGCTGGATGATGAGATCTTCTCCAAATTCTACAGACGTGTGGCTGAATTTCCTCGGATGCCCACAAGGATCGAGATCAGTGAGGACTTTGACTCCATCTTTGGCTCCCAGGGTCCAAAGTAAGACCGTAAAATCAGCTTGTCTGTGAAACGGGTCCAGCATCTTGATGCTCAGATTTTTGTTTTCTTCCTACGTAGGCTGACTTCAGTCATGGTGCAGCATAAGCGGTCCATTCGCCCCTCTAGGAACGTCCAGGCATCGAGGAATCCTGTGAAGGTGCTGGCAGCAAGAGAGGACATCCGCCATGAGTATACGGAGGAGAGACTGAACGTAGCACAGCTGGAGAGCAAAAGGATGAAAGCTGAGAAGAGTGACTGTAAGGATGTTATTGTTATACAACATCTCTGGTTCTGTTAAAAATTGAAACATTTTGTTGTTTACAGCTTACATATCTCAATTTTTATCCTCCTCTCGTAAACACAAGAAATTATTAAGGACCTGTGTCTGACCCACTTCTGCATTGCAGCAGGGAGCTTGTTAAATTTAATGATGCATTTGTGCAGTTTTTCAGTCCCTTGTAGGTCTTTATTTTACAAAGTGCCTTTTTTCTTCGCTCCAGTAAATAAAACATCGGAGTACTCCGAGGCAGCTCTGGCAGGACTCGCCAGCAAGGAAAACTTCAGCAGCGTGAGTCTACGCAGCATCAACATCTCAGAGCAGACCTCCAACAACAGCGCCGTGCCGTATAAGAACCTCATGCTGATACAGGTCAAAGGTAAAAGCTCTTGACTTTATGAGCTTGGTGTCCTGAAACGTTTTTGAATTCAAAGTCTCAGTTTCACTGAAAAGTGACGTCAAATCTACAATCAAATTGTTATTATTTGAATTAGTAGAACAGATATTACTGAAAAATATCTACAGCTCATGTTCTAATTTTCTAGACTGATTGGGTTCCTGCCTCTAAAAATGAAAAAAATGATTCCAACTTCAGGCCAAGACAAAGTTCTCCTCATAACCGTACAAAATTAGCTGCACACTAGTAAAATATCAGGTTGGCCATTGTCATTAAAGAGCAAGTCACCCCCAAATCAACTTTATTTTCCTGATAAACTATATAAATGTGTGTCTAATCGTACTGCAGACGCGTGTCGTCAATAGTTTTGCACTTTAGTGTATTTTAGTTCAAATTTAATTTTCTGCCTAAAACTGTCAGTGTTGTTCTGTTGTCAGGTAAAAACTCTGCACTGCAGTTGAATTTAAATCTGCCATCGCTATTGGCTAAGAGGTACCCTAGAACATTAACTGGTACCATATGATGTCACAATGTCGTTGTGAGTCTGTGTGTGTGTGTGTGTGTGTATCATCGACATATATATTCAATAATGTGTGTCCATAGGCTCCAATAATAAGCTTTTAAGCCAAAATGGGAGGTGGCCACCACCGCCATTTTGACCGTGTCACAGGTTCTGTCAAGCCCCGACAATTCCAAAAAAGGAAAGAGAGGTGGAGTTGAGGGTGGGGCTGTAAGGCTGGGATCAAATGACGACACCCGTCGAACTGAAGCAATGTAGCTACAAGCTAACTCAAAGCTAACGCGGAGGTGGGAGCTAAGCTAACAGAGGTAGCTACGTAGCTACAACCGGAGTTAACTGTGCACATCACCAAAGCTTCTGAGTCAGAGATACGCTGGGCTGACTGCTGGGTAAAACCGGGTGGAACACAGAGGTCTCCCGAGAGCTCCACAAGCCGGCAGCCGCGCAGCAGACAGGCGCCGCGGCGATCAGAGATGCGTCGAGTTGAGGGGAGGGGACCATACTGATAGTCGGAACCCAGCTCCACCAACATGTTATATTTCAACCCATTTTCAAAAATGCAGCGTCATGTTAAATGCACTGGGTTTTACCCTATTACATTTAAATTTCATGGTTAAACAGTACATGTTCAGATCTAAGCTCAGCTCAGCAGTGACCTAAATGCATAAATATAATTTTACTTACCGAAAAAAATGAAGTGGAGACTCCTTGGATGCTCTGTTAGTGCAATTAATGCCACAGCAAGTCATTTTGTCCAACAATTGCACAAATAATATCCAAAACAAATGCACAAATGCTACAACTAATGGTCTAAGTTGAGAGGCTTAAAATCATGGAACAGTTTTCAGGTGAGGCTGAGGCCTTTCCCCGGAGCTAGCTCTGTGGTCACATGGGTCGGATGCTCATTAATTATACAGAATTTTTGGCTTTTAATACACTTAAACAGAAGAGTGACAAAAAATTCACCCCCCTCAGAGTTGTCATGAGTGTAAATTAGATCTATTAAACCTAAAACATGTTTTGGTACCAGGCTGTAAACATGTTTATTTCTGCTGTGAAATTGGCATTTTTAACATGGGAGTCAGTGAGGATTTGCTCGCTTCTGACACCAGCCCCCAGCGGATGAGGGTGGAACTGCTATTTTTGTCACTTCCGTGTTGGCTTCAATTTCATACCAGTATTATGGGGGCTTAGTGTGTATTTGTTAGCGGCTCCGCCCTCTTGGCCTGCTAAGCAACAGCATTTGTTACATTTTTCATACAGGAAGTGGGAGTTGAGTAAGAATCTGGTAGGGGGTGACTTGCTCTTTAACTATTCATCTGGAAAAAGCTGGTACCCCCTGGTGGCTGGTTGCAGTATGAGTGTTAAGTCCCACCCCCTCCATGTAAACTAACTTGGAAAAATACCTGATTAATTTGAAACTAAACATACATCAGATTTTTTGCTTACATCACATACCCGCGAGAATTTGGAGGTGCCCCTTAGCCTGATAACGGGAAAGAGTCTTGACGTAACGAGATCAAAGTCGTTATACTCCTTCATTTTTTACCTTAATCTGACAACAATACACTTACCGCCGTAAATCAATGCTTTCCAAACTGTCTGATTCCAAATTATAAAGAAGAGCTGCTAGCTGTTAATGGTAATGATGTACTTTACCTCTATAAATCAATAGTTAACTAATCTATTTGTGGTACAGAATAAAACTCATCACTAATATTACTATTGATTGAAACCTTCTTACATAGTTTGGGCAACATATGGCCAGGTACTTTGTTCAGTTTGTACCAATCATCTCCAGAGTCACTACTGGGTGTTTTACAGCAACCAGTGAGTTTCTTTTACCAACTTTAAGAAGCACAAACAATCAAATCTTGTAAATTGGTAAATTAAGCCTTTCAATTATTTAGTTGCCCAAAAGTCATTTGTGAACATCAGTTAATTTGAATAAATGTATTTGGTTGGTGTAAGAAGATAAATAACGAAGGTGATTATTGCCGGCAGGTCGTCGTCATGTTCAGACCAGACTAGTGGAGCCCAGAGCCTCTTCGCTGAACAGCGGGGACTCTTTCCTGCTGGTCACACCAGAACATTGCTTTGTCTGGATAGGAGAGTTCTCGAATGTCATTGAGAAGGCGAAAGTGAGTATCATCATCATCAATGTCATAATTATTATTGTAACTTCTGTTGCATAAAACACATCACACACACACACACACACACACACACACACACACACACACACACACACACACACACACACAATTCCATCTGTGCCGATAAAACACGTGCTTTCAGCCTCTTCCATTTCCCCAAAGGCCTTTTGAGAGTATTTTTATTTTCTGCTTTGCCTTTTTTTATATTGTAATAATTTTATTTTCATGCACAAAAAGCTCAGAAACTTTCAGGCCAATAATGAGGATTAAATTGTTCTTAACTACAAGGTGTGTTTTACCTCCTTGAGTAAAGCTGACTCATTATGAGACTGTATGAGGTCTACACTTCCATTTTAATGTTGGACATCCACATGTTGCTTTCTGGGGTGCAGGCTACGGACTTAGCCACTTTCATCCAGACCAAGAAGGATATGGGCTGCAGGGCAAACCAGGTGCAGACAATTGAGGAAGGTGTTGACGCTCAGGGCCCTGAAGCTCAGCAGTTCTGGACTATCTTGGGTGGACAGATGACCCATCAACGTAGGGCTGAAAACAAGCACGTTAACATATGATTGTATGAATGCATTTCTAACATCTGTATTTTTGCCATAGCGGCTGGTTTACCAGAAGAGGACGAGAGGTATGAGAACGGTATTGTGGAAACCAACTGTATCTTCAGGCTGGTGGAGGATAAGCTGGTTCCTGATGATAATGAGTGGGGGAAGATCCCTTGCATCGCCTTGCTGGCTCCTAAAGAGGTGAACAGTTCTTCATGACCTCATTGCTAACATGTATGTTAAACCAGCTGTCAGGTCCTGCTCAAACCAGTCTGGGTATTTATGCAGCTTCCATGAGCGGTGATGGAAAACAAGTGTGTGAGTGGGCGGGCTAAATTTAGCTTATAGTGCTCTGGTGTGTTACAGGAACAGAAGAACCTGATAACTGATCCTCATGCTCGCTGCAAAGGCTTAAGGGTTGTAAAAGCAGCAGCGTGCTGATTCTGCGTGCACTAATGTTGGTGTAAGGATGGAGATGCTTTCAAATACAATAGCTGTGTTTTACTGTAGAGCATGGTTTTAAAATCCATTGCTTAGCAACAACAGGTACCATGATGAACACCTCCTATGTCTATCTGAGTTCTACTGCCATCAAAAGGCTCGCTGCAGCCACAACTCTGGATAGTTATGATAAATTAGGTCATTAGAAAATAGACATATTCCAGAGCAGGTTCTCGTTTCGGCTTTATTTTGCTTTTTAAGTTGAAATAATGAACCTGTTTGTGTTTGGGCGGGTAAATTCAATTCAATTCAAGTTTATTTTTATAGCGCCAAATCACGACAAGAGTCGTCCCAAGGCACTTCACATAATAAACATTCCAATTCACAGTTCATTAAGCCAATCAGAAATAATGTTTCCTATATAAGGAACCCAGCAAATTGCATCAAGTCACTGACTAGTGTCAGTGACTATACAGCAATCCTCATACTAAGCAAGCATGCAGCGACAGTGGAGAGGAAAACTCCCTTTTAACAGGAAGAAACCTCCAGAGAATCCTGGCTCAGTATAAGCAGCCATCCTCCACGGCTCACTGGGGATCGAGAAGACAGAGCAGACACACACACACACACACACACACACACACACACACACACACACACACACACACACACACACACACACACACACACACACACACACACACACACACACACACACACACACACACACACACACACACACACACACACACACACACACACACACACACACGTAATGTGTCTATAGTCATATTGGGTAGACAGACAAGGCCGCTCTTTACCAAACCAGACTGCTGCAGAGGGCTTCTTTTAACGTCTGTTTTTGTTGCTCTGTCCTGCAGGTTTTGGTGTTTGATTTTGGCAGTGAGGTGTACGTTTGGCATGGCAAAGAAGTAACTCTGGCACAAAGGAAGGTGGCGTTTCAGCTGGCCAAGCACCTGTGGAACGGGACGTTTGACTACACCTGCTGCGACATCAACCCGCTGGACCCCGGAGGCTGCAACACTCTCATACCCAGGTCTGAACACACACGTCCGTCTGCCATTTGTGTCTGGGTTGAAACTAAACTCAGATCACTTTTTGTAATCGTGGTGTTTTTGCACACAGGAAGGGGCAGGGTCGTCCTGATTGGGCCATATTCGGCCGACTGACAGAGCACAATGAGACCATCTTGTTCAAGGAGAAGTTTATCGACTGGACTGAAGTAAAGTCGCCTACCTTAAAGGAAGTTGGCGAGCTTGTCCCAGAACAGAAGGTGTGAATTTATCATTTTTTATGTTTTCTGATGTCTTAAAAAGTCTCAAAAATCTAAATCTTCATCTCAGGAGACATCTGGATGTAAGTGCCGGCCGTACAACGCCTCCCTGATGCTGCCTGTCCTCCAGTCGGCTGTTTCCACCATTCTGGATGGGGTGAATGTGGGTCGTGGCCATGGCCCGGTGGAGACGGAGGACCACATGAGGATCCAGGAGATCAACACGGCGTCTGTGGATGTTTGGCACATCCTGGAGTTTGACTACAGCCGTCTGCCTCGCCAGAGCATCGGCCAGTTCCACGAGGGAGATGCCTACGTGGTCAAGTGGAAGTTCACGGTTAACACTTCAGGTTAGTCTCCATGGCAACATCCTGATGAATAAACAAATCCCTGTAATTACTAACGCTTTCTTGCGTTTCCACATCAGTGGGCCGAAGACAGAACCCAGAGGCGAGGAGCAGCGGCCCGGGGAAGGAGAAATGCTGCTATTTCTTCTGGCAGGGTCGACACTCCACCGTCAGTGAGAAAGGAACGTCGGCGTTGATGACAGTGGAGCTGGACGAGGAGAGAGGAGCTCAGGTAGGAGAGGTGGAGCTGCTGACCGACTAGAAATAAATAAATATTTGAGATTTGGAGAATCTGTGTTTCAGATCCAGGTGCAGCAAGGAAAGGAGCCGCCATGTTTCCTGCAGTGCTTTAATGGAGGGATGATCATCCATGCTGGCAAGAGGGAGGAAGAGGAGGAGAACGCTCAGAGTAAATATTCATGTCTTTGATTCTGCTACAACAGAGGTATGAGGAAAAAATAACCACAAGAAAGTGCATGTTTTTACTTTTGGAAGCTCTTAAAAAGACATAAGTCACCCTGTCAGGGACATGCACAAACCAGCCAGAGAAGCACTGCTCATGAGACTCATAACACCATTTTATTTTGGAGCAGCTTCAAGGTTAAAGGAACTTTAACCTCATCACCACACAAGACACTATCCAGAAAACGAAAGACATTTCAGACACACCAGGTTCAACTTAAATAGTGGCTGATCAGACCACTCTACATACAAGAGGGGAACAATTAACATACAATTAACACACACATCCTCTCTCACACACACACACACAAACTAACCACTCTAATCAATTCAGGTAACTCAAATAACTAAATCATAATTACAAACTTCCTATCCATAACAGAAAACATCTACATTAAGTAAAACACAAGCATAAACATGAATCTCCCCTCCCTTGGGAGTTGGTAGATCCCAGGAGTGCCGATTAGGCTTCCTGAGATGATGAGCTGCAGGTGTGAGACTCCATGGGAAACTCCAAGTCACTGGTAACTCAAAATAGAAGTACAAAATTAACACATGCATTCATAAACAGAAGACAGATTGTGTGCACATCAACCAGTCATCCTGTACAGAACACAGAAAACAGTACCAGCAGACCATGTCCCTGAGGTGACAGACACTGCTGTCACACCCCGTTAATAAAGTAAAGCTCTAATTCATATTAAGGGTGTTGTTTCAAAGCTTATTCTGCAACAGAACAGTAAGACATCTCTGACATGAGTCACATCCCTGGTTCCAGATGAGTGGCGTCTCTACTGCGTGCGTGGTGAGGATCCCATGGAGGGCCACCTGCTGGAGGTGGTGTGTCACTGCAGCAGCCTTCGCTCCAGAGCATCCATGATTCTGCTCAACATCAACAAAGCTGTCATCTACCTGTGGCACGGCTGCAAGACGCAGATGCACACCCGCAGCGTCGGGAGCACGGCTGCAAACAAGATCAAAGAACAGTGAGGAGTCTGTCTTTGACCTGTCCTGTGGGGTCGTCATGAATGAATCCTCACCCGAGAATTCTCACTCTGTGTCTCAGGTGTCCTCTGGAAGCAGGTCTCCACAGCAGCAGCAAAGTCAGCATCCACGAGTGCGATGAAGGAGTTGAACCTCCGGGGTTCTGGGAGGCGCTTGGGGGGAAAGACAGGAAAGCTTATGACTGCATGTTGCAAGGTACAATTTTTACATTTCGGACAAATGAAAAGATGTCTCCCGGTTGGAAAAGTCTGCTCTGGATCATGATTTCAATGTTTTTAACTTCATCTTAGAAGGCGTTAAACGTTCAACCCTAAAATAGGACAATGAGCTGGTAATTGAACTCTGTCCTGTTTTATCAGATACAGGAAAATTCAACTTCACCCCACGGCTCTTCCAGCTGACCAGCTCATCTGGAGAGTTTGTAGCATCTGAGTTCTTCCACCCGTCCAGAGGTCCAGATCTGGTCAGCTCGCTGCCTTTCCTGCAGGAAGATCTCTACAACGCACCGCAGCCTGGTGAGGCTGAAACACAGGACATGAGAAATGTTTTATCTGTCATTTAAGTGGTTAGAGGAACAAAATCCACCAGACTTATAAACAAAATCTAAAAATGAAAGATGTTTCCTCTCTTTTCTAAAGCGTTGTTCCTGGTGGATAACTTCCACGAGGTGTACCTGTGGCAGGGCTGGTGGCCTCAGGACAGCGAGTGCACTGGCTCGGCTCGCATCCGCTGGGACGCCGACAGGAAATGCGCCATGGAGACCGTGCTACAGTACTGCAAAGGTGAAGAGACCAGCTGTGATGGTTGTGTGTGTTTAAAGTCACGTTTCAGCTGGTTCAGCCTGCTATAATATGATAATGGAGAAGGTGGGGGGATAAATCTTCTTGTTTTTAACTCAAACAAGGATAAACTAAAGACGTTTTACACATTTTCTTTATAAAATCCATTTAAAAAAGGCAGTATGTGAGTTTTACACTCTTTATTAATTTATAACCGTTACTTAGGTCTATTTAGAGTTTTTTTTTTTCTACAGAAAAAAATGAGAAGAAGCCCCAGAAGTCGTATCTTATCCACGCCGGTCTGGAGCCGCTCACTTTTACCAACATGTTCCCCTGCTGGGAACACCGAGAGGACGTGGCTGAGATCACAGAGAGAGTCAGTCCAAGAAACAACAGAAATGTTTTCATTTAGCACCTTTTTCTAACCCAAGCCTGAGCAGATGAAAGCATGTTGCTTCTCTTTTGCTGTCATGGCTGCAGGAGGCGGAGGTGTGCAACCAGATCATCCTGGTGGAGGACGTGTTGGCCCGGCTCTGTCAGAACACCTACCCTCTGGCTCAGCTTCAGGCCCGGCCACTCCCAGAGGGAGTCGACCCGCTCCGCCTGGAGGTCTACCTCTCCGACCAGGACTTTGAGGTCTGTTGAAACCACCATGTCAACCAGAAGACTCAAATCAATCTCAGAAGGTTGCATCACGTTACACAAACTGATATTTTTTTTCCACTTTCCATCAGATCTAGTGAGCTTATTAAGAACTAACATCATCTAACATTTAACTCCACAGACTAAGTTGTCGGTGGATGCAGGTAAGATGCGTTTTATTTTTCAGAACTGATGATGTGTCTCTCTGTGAAGCATGTCAGCACTGTTGCTCTTCTTCACGGATCTGATAAATCACTCCCGAGTGTCGCTGGTTGAGGAGGAAAGTTTTGCACTCGGCTGCACAATGAGGGTCACCGCGCTGTTAGACAATAAGTCAGCTCAACGTCTGAGACATACCTCATCGATGAAAAGCCACAAATCTTTCATTTAGGTTTAAAGTTTAGGGATGTTTTTGTGCTGCAGGTCATGGTTGCAGCACTCCTGTACGGTAGGGATGTGGTCATAATGTTATGACAGACTGATGTGGCCTAGTTTTCATACACATCTACTAAAATAGCTGTGCAATAAAAGCCTCGGTGGATTTTTGTTGATTGGATTTGTTTTTAGTTAAAAATGATTGGCTGTTCCAGCCTAGCCGTTGGCTTATCAATCCTGTAGAACGTAAACTCAATAACGTCCAACTCAGGCTGTTCAGGAAGCATCTACTTGGAGTAAAATTACCCCCACCCCCTCCAAAGAAGAAAAAAATGTGAAATATGCAGAAAAGAAAAATTCAAAATTGAGCCACAAATTCTAAAACTTTAAACAAATAATTTGGCAAAAACCGACAAAATAAAAATAACAGATAAAATTAAAGAACAAGGTTTTAGAGAAAGGGCAGAAAAGTTGGGCACAAAAACGTCTTTTTTTTGCCTAAATAACTAAAAATTGAAACCATGGATTCATAAATTGTTGCATTTAAAGTATAACGTTTTCATTATGATCCAGATATTAGTCCTCCTACGAAACCTGTAGAATTGTGCAGCTGCAGTCCAATTCTCAGACCTCACACCTCTTCACAATTCTCACTCTTTACACAAACACTGATTCTACCAGAGACTGTTTCCTGTTGGAGTGAAAACTGACACCTTAAGCTGCAGTGGTGTGACTCACCTTCTGTCTGTGGAGCACAGGATGAAGGCATGAAAGGTGGTTTGGTGTGTTGGTTCTCAGTGATGCACAATAATGCTCATGCCGGCCTCCTGGAGGGTGGTTTTACACCAGAAATCCCTGAAAATAATAAATTAACTCTTGATTTAGTTGAGAAAATTCATCTGGAATAAAAGTGGAGAACTGGCTGTAAATGTGCAAAGAAATCACATGAAATGAGACAAATTAAACATCCCAGAGCAGAGATGTTAGCCCCATTTTGACGTGTTTTCTTGGTACTTTCAGGCTGTTTATACCAACAGTTGTGTGAAAATAACAGATGATTTTCTAGTGGTGAATTCCAGCAGGATGTAGCTAAAAAACTTAATAAATCAGCAGATTTGTCCAAAGAAACGTGTCCAAGATCACCTTTGTAGCCAAAAAAGCAGAAGATAAGATTAGATGTGTGTGTGTGTGTGTGTGTGTGTGTGTGTGTGTGTGTGTGTGTGTGTGTGTGTGTGTGTGTGTGTGTGTGTGTGTGTGTGTGTGTGTGTGTGTGTGTGTGTGTGTGTGTGTGTGTGTGTGTGTGTGTGTGTGTGTGTGTGTGTGTGTGTGCTGTAAAGATGTGGTTGACTGGAAAAAATGTTAATGTTTTTTTAATTACAACCAGTCATTCCGAGTTTTTCATGCAGGCTTAACATGAAAACAGTTCCTATCTTCTGCAGTAGCTTCTGATTTAAAAAATAAATAAACGGTGAAATACTAGGATTTTAAAATCCTCACACTGTGATGTCACACTGAATTTGAATTCATGGCCTTGCCCATGTGGCTCCCGCCCATCCGCAGGAAGGCTTTTTTGCAGCGAGGAGAGAGAGCAGAGAGTGTGATGTGATAGTGACTTCACAACATGGCTGAAAGCGTTTTATTAGCCAATCAGAATCAAGGTGTGTGCATATCATTAATAATAATGGGTAATGCTGCTGTTTTCAGCTCACCTCTGCACCAGCAAACTTCTGCATCTCAGAACAAGAGCATCATAGATTTTTTTTTAAATGACACATAAGGCATTTATTTAATCTCGTGAACACTGCAAATGTGTAAATGGGCAAACCACACCTTTAATTGATCTCCTCCGCCACAGAAATGTTTCTACCTCAGACATTTTACAGATAAGGGGCTCAGATTTGATGTCCAATCAGCTGAGTTTCATTTCCAACACCAACAGAGATTGCTAACAGATTGTGTGAGGTTGCATGTAACGCTTCTTTCCAGAATACCAAAACATCCCTAAAACTAGAATTCTTCTATGAGAGGTGGCTGGCAATGATATGCATTCCTTTTAGGACCTTTAACAGACTCTCTCACACTCAGCTTGCACCAGTAAATGTGCTTTTTTGCAGCACCTGACCTTTATCGGCTGCAGGGAAATGCCAGCACGTTCCTGGACATGCTGACCTGCTTGTGTCTCTGTCTCCCTTTGCAGAAAGTTTTGGACATGAAGAGAGAAGAATACGAACGTCTGCCAGGGTGGAAGCAAGTGAACCTAAAGAAGGCCAAAGGACTGTTTTAGCTTCGTTTTTAACTGAAGGGTTCGAGTAGAGAAGAAGAAGCAGGAGAAAAGAGACCCAGGAGGATATTTCAGGAAAATCTGCAGAAAGCACAGGACCGGAGATGCACTTGTCCCATTTCTAGTCTTGTTTTATTTTCTCAGCTGTGTCAGTATTTAACTAAATTAAACGCAAGTGGTGCATCAGCAGGTAGAAACACCTCACTTTGGTTCTTGATGTGTCTTTTAAGTCTTCTTCTGAGCACTGAGGTCACCATTTGTGAAGAAGACAGAAATCTTAGACGCTTGCTGTCAGAGTGCCATGTTGTGGTTGTATGAGTGCAGCTGTATATAATGATGGTGTGTTTGTGCAAGTGGGTGTGTGTGTGTGTGAGAGAGAGACTTAAAAACAACCTCTGTTGCTGCAGGAGTTAGGAGGGAAGTCAGATGCTGTCAGACCTTGTGAGCAACTCTTCTCGCTACTTTGTTAAACTGCAAAGTGACTCAAACTTTATTAAATATCTGAGGTGACGAGTAACTCAAAGGCAGCAGTTTGGTCAAACTGAAAATACAGTGCCTTGCTTTTGTGTACAGTTTATATACAGAAATTCTAGTCTGCATTTTTAAAGACTTTCTTTGTGATATAAGAGATAGTAAATTAAATCCCAACAATGCTCAATAAAAATAAAGACTTGTTTCTGTCATTTGCTGCATGATAACTTGTTCTGCAGGCGTGTTTTGGTAATTATATGTGATTTCAAAAGAAAACAGGAATGTATTTATAAATACCAATTTAGTTATTTGATTTTTATTAAACACACACACACACACTTGCGTTTTGTAAAACTGAAGGTTCACGTTATCTGAAAATATTTCGTGTAAAAAAAGCCTTTTTAGCCCACAAAAAAAGAAAAAGTTACTTGTAATACCACTGCATGACCAGTGGAGGGCGACAAACGTCTACGCTAAGCAGAAGACAAAGATTAATATTACTATTACTATCGTCACATATTAATTATTATTAATATGTGACAAGAAAGTTGACGATAGTTCACGAAGGCTGTTTTGCTGACACATTTAGGAAGAATGGGGTTTAAGGAATGTTTCAAATGTGGTCCAAGAATTAAATTTTATGTTTTAAATAAAGTCTCAGAGGATTAAGATCCTAGCATCAGTGGACACTCAACCCCTTCACACACACACACACACACACACACACACACACACACACACACACACACACACACACACACACACACACACACACACACACACACACACACACACACACACACACACACACACACACACACACACACACACACACACACACACACACACACACACACACACACACACACACACACACACACACACACACACACACACACACACACACACACACCAAAGCAAACTAAGCTTGTGCTTGCTGAACTCACAACCATTGCTTTATGGTCGTGCCCCGGATGCTTGCGGGTCAAAAGGTAGCGGGTGTTTCCAGCAGACACGGGTGTTTCGGCTGAGCGAACACATTTAGATGTAACTCTGAGAAATCATTTGTGTTAAAGGTACGTTATGAGTTACTGTACTTCTTACCGATGTTTTCTTTTATCTGCATGACTGATCAGAGACTAGACACATTAACAAACTCTTGGTCACTCTTTAACCTGCAAAGGTGTGTGACTTGCAGCTTTCAGCGACTAAATGATATAATTTGTATTGCAGCTTTAGAAAACACACACATCAACCCTAATAGGCACGAGACCATCTATAAACCACACAAATGGCCTGGGTTCAGTCAGATTCATGTTTAAAACCTGTGACTCTTTGGTTTTGGTGAATAAAACAGCTGTAATAAACATTTGTCTCAACTGCATTTAAACCATAAACATGGTCACGTGCTTTCTGACCTTTACTCTTTGGATAAGCTCCTAAATGTGTCATCACTTTAACTTCTGATAATAAATAACTGCAGCTTTAAACTGATAAAACAACTAAACACTTTATTCGAGTTAGAATTTACCCAGAAACAAAAATATATCCAGCTACTTTGTAATGTTTAAGTCTCAGTATCTGTTATAAAGGTTTCCACCTACTGTGGTCTTTTTCTCACACACACATTCCCATATTTCAGAAAACATGTCCCACCAAGTCAGACTGAGGCTGCTGGCCAGCATCAGGTGTCTGTTTGACAAGCCCGTCCAGGTGAAGGTGAGCGGGCCGATGTTGAGGCAGGATGTCACCATGAGAGCCAGATCCATGATGAGAGAGGAGTGGAGTTCAGCTCCTCAGCCAAAGCTTTGAGAGTGTGAGTTATCCTGGAGCCGGACACATGCTGGAGCCTCCTTATGGACCCTTCTGCTTTACATGGGATGCTGTCTTGTGTGTGTGTGGGGGGGGACGGCGAACCCAAGGTGCACACTGCAGCTGAGGTCCACCTGTGGAAGAAGATCCAGGAGTTTTTAATAGCTCACCTGAGCTGTGATGCTGCTCGGACAAAATCCAGTTTATAGAAGAAAACATGCAGTAAAGAAAGAATTACAGTAATGTACGTAGGACTTTTGTCCGTCCATCCAGACGCAGCACCAGTCCCCTCATCGATCTCTCTCTCCATCTTTCCCTCACTTTTGAACAAGACCCTGAGATACGTAGACTCTTCCACTTGAAGCAGGACCTCGTCCCTGACCTGGAGAAGGCCTTCTAGCCTTTTCGGACTCAAGACTGTGGCCTTGGATTTAGAGAAGCTGATTCTCGTCCCAGCTACTTCACATTCGGCTGCGAACCGCTCCAGCAACAGCTGGAGATCAGGACTTCTGTATAAAAAGCATTTTTAATTACATAAGAGAAATATTTTTGAAAGTTCTTTACAAATGCCACTTAAAACTACACAAGTGTGTAATTTAATCCTTGTGAAACGTTATAATGGTGATTGGGCTTCTCTGGTCAGACTAATATTTCAATATTAATTTCATTAACCATCGAGGCCTATTTCAGATTTTTGGAGCTGTTAAGGGAAAACAAACCGGATTTGTTGATTTTGTTGAAACCATTATTGATTGATTTCTTATTGATAAGCATTCAAATATCTCAATGAATAAAGAATAAAGATTACCACAAAGCAAGAAACACAAAACAAGGCTAATCAAAAGGTTTTGGCTGAAGCATTTGCTTATTGCGCCAAACCTTTTAACAAAGATCTTTTAGCAAAGATCTCAACAATAAAACAAAGCAAAACAAACAAACAGACAAACAAAATAAAAACACTCTACACCTTAGATAAGTAACTACATCAAAGCAAAACAATCAAGAGTGTCAGTGTTATTATTATTATTGCTCTTTTCATTCTTGGTTTATATATTTTTCTAATACTCTATTTTTAAACATATTTTTAAACAAGGGAAATGAACTACATCTTTTAAAATCACTGTCATTGCTATTCCACAGGTTAACTCCTCTAACAGAAACACATCTCTGCTTTATATTTGTCCTTATCTTATTTGTGTTAAAGAATTCTGTTCCCCTTAAGTCATATTGACTCTCTCTGACTTTGAACAGCTTCTGAGTACTGCGGGAAAGCAAGTTATTTTGTGCTTTATACATTATCCGTGCCATTTTGTATTCGACTAAATCATACAATTTCAGGGTATTCAGATTAATAAACAAAACATTAGTTGATTCTATGTAGTTAGATTGGTTTATAATTCTTATGGCTCTTTTTGTAACTTGAAAATAGGAAGAGTATTTGTTTTATATGCATTACCCCATATCTCTATTGTTCAGACAAAACCAAAAAGAAAGGTCCACTTTTCTTTTCTTCTTCAAATGATTTAAAAAAATATAATTTAAATTCAGGCATACTGTGTTATACTGTTACAGAATACGGTTATTGTTGTTGTGTTCTGTAGTTAGAAATCGTTTTTGTAAACATGGTAGATTTCCAGTGACAACAAATGTCTGCATTCCTATTTATGTTGAAAAGAGATTCTGAAGTAGATGCTTGGCAACAACAAAAGCTTTGCAGGTTGATTGGATTTTTAAAATTAATGAAAAAGGTGCAAAGATTTTGCGAGTGCGACATTTATTTTGAAAATCAAGTGACGTCACTTCCTGTACTTGAATTTTCGTGGAGGACCTTTCATAACAAACTTTCTGACAGCTTTAAAAGTCCGGTCGTGTCTCCTAGCGGACGTAGACGCGTTTAACTAAACAAAGGGCTTAAATATCGGGTGTTAATCAGAGAATCACTTCCGTTTGGGCAGAAATACGCGAAGGTAAGGCTAACGTTTGGGCCGGGGGCTAGCTAGCTAAGCGCTCAGCTGCACGGACGGTTCTGAGTCTGACGGGAATGTTTATGGATCCGTTTTAAAGTTTTTCTGGTGTAAAAACGCAACAAAATAATGATTTGTCACAAACGCACAAGCTTTTTAATCAAACAGTGATTAAAAGTGTTTATTAGAGTGGTCATGAGACATTTAAAGTCTTTAGAAATGCGTGGTTTTTTTCAGTTACTTAAGATGTCACATATTTGGGATGGGCCTTTTTTTTTTGTTATATTTTGATTCCAAGCCACTTTACCCACCAGTTTCTAGTATGCACCAATCGGGTTTGATCCTTTTTCTGCAGGTCACCAACTGAAATGTCCACCCAAGTTCGACTGAGGCTGCTGCCAAGTGCCAGGTGCTTGTACGACGAGCCCATTCAGGTCAAAGTGACAGGGTTGAGGTCAAGGCAGGAGGTCACCATGAGAGCCAGATCCACCGATGAGAAGGGAGTGGTGTTCAGCTCCTCTGCCACCTACAGAGCTGATGGGAACGGGGAGATCGACCTGAACAGAGACCCCTCAACCGGTGGGAGCTTCCATGGAGTTGAACCCATGGGTCTGCTGTGGTCCATGAAGCCACACATGTTACACAAAAAGTTTCAAAAGTCAAATTCTTTAAACCCACATGTGGTGAAGTTCTCTGTTCATGAAGAAGCAGACAGGATGCTGGCGGAGGCAATCAATGAGAGGTTTCTGCTCGGAGATGGAGTCAGCCGGGTTCCTGTCAGACATGGGGGTATTCGTGGAGCCCTGTTTTCTCCTCCAGGTTAATTTATGTGAACATAAACATGCATGCACCTGTACGTCATGATCATGATCCTCCAGACCAGGGGTCTCATTTATCAAACATTGCGTAGAATCCTTACTAAAACCGTACTTAAGCTCAGCAAAAAAATGTACTTACGCCAAGTAGGTCTGTGATCTATCAAACATGGAGTACGCACAGCTGCACGCAATCTCCGCTTCATAAATCAGAAACTATTTAGAATGTTTCTCAGCTGCATTTTAGTCACATCCCGCCCTCACCACGCCCACTTACTGCCATAAATAGTCAATGCAAAGTGCCTTGTGGATCTCATGCATATACATAAGCCGGCTGTTGCAGCGCTCCACCAATGACGATGGCGACCGTAGCTCAAGGCAGATCAAGGAAGCACAATTTCACAGAAGCAGAAGTTGAGGTACTTGTGGGTGAGGTGGAGAAATTAAAGGAAGTGCTTTTGCAAAACAAATAAGAGAAAATCCACGGAGTGGCACAGCGTTGCTGAAGCCATCAATGGGAGTTCTTCAGAGAGATCTGTGGCGGATTTAAAAATGATCCAAATCAGGATTTGATCCCCAGACTCGCAGGTGAAAGTCATGCACGCTAACCAGTCAGCCAAACAGAGGTCTCCCCTGTACAAGTAGGCAGGGCGTATGATCAATCAAGTCACAGTGACAGGACACACACTGTCACCGACGCACGACATTCTGTCTCAATCTGTCCCCCTGCTGACATTCTGCACTCCGTATTCTGAGCTTCAGGCTGTGTGTGTGTGTGTGTGTGTGCATGTGGGGGGTCTTGTTCTGTGTGAAAACGAAGCAGTACAAGTGATAATGCTGCAGGATTTCATAATTTTATCCTTCTCAGCAGCAGCACTGCAGGTGCTCTCCATGTCCAAAATGTGTATAAGCCAGGTCCTTGGTCAACTTAAAGTTGCGCACATTTTTCCCGACCGGAAAAGGGTGGCTTGCCAACTCTGGGTCGGGGGAGAGGTCCTACCTCAAGTGGAAGAGTTTTAAGTATCTCGGGGTCTTGTTCACGAGTGAGGGTAGGAGGGATCCGGAGATCGACAGGCAGATTGGTTCAGCGTCTGCAGTGATGCGGACGCTGAGCCGATCTGTCGTGGTGAAGAGGGAGCTGAGTCAGAAAGCCAGGCTCTCGATTTACCGGTCGATCTACGTCCCAATCCTCACCTATGGTCATGAGCTTTGGGTAATGACCGAAAGAACGAGATCGCGGATACAAGCGGCCGAAATGAGTTTCCTCCGTAGGGTGGCTGGGCTCAGCCTTAGAGATAGGGTGAGGAGCTCGGACATTCGGGAGGGACTCGGAGTAGAACTGCTGCTCCTCCGGATCGAAAGGAGCCAGTTGAGGTGGTTTGGGCATCTGGTCAGGATGCCTCCCCGGGGAGGTGTTTCGGGCATGTCCTGCCGGCAAGAGGCCCCCGGGTTGACCCAGGACACGTTGGAGAAGTTACATCTCCAATCTGGTCCGGGAACGCCTTGGGGTCCTGCCAGAGGAGCTGGTGGAGGTGGCCGGGGAGAGGACGGTCTGGAGCTCCCTAGTTGGGATGCTGCCCCCGCGACCCGGACCCGGATAAGCGGAGGAAGACGACGACAACGACATTTTTCCGCTAAGTTTTCTTTCATAAATCCCAAAGTTTGCGTGGAAAGTAGCTTACGCAGGTTTCCGACTCCGTTTTGTGCGGAAGCAAGCTTGATAAATGAGGCCCCAGGAGAATAGCACATTTCATACCCTGAAGCAATTCAGTTGCTTTCCAAAATCTAATTTCAAATACTCAAATTAAATTAGATGTAAGAAATGAAATTAAAAGGGTGAGCAGGTACAGTGCAGAAAGTACAGCATAAGAAAAATTCACTCAGAGGCTGATGAATACATTAAGGTTTTTAATTTTGATATTAAAAAAGTTGGGGCACATTCAAGGGAAGCCGACTCCGTCTTTGTGCAGCTAAAAGCAGTTTCACCCTGTTTAGTTCTGACCCGGGATTCTACCGGCTGACTGCTTCCTACGAACCTCAGAGCCCTGCTGGGGCATGTACAGCCAGGAGATCTGACGTATATTAGCCTTATGCCCATGAGTGATTTATAAACCAGTAGAAGCACTTAATGGATTCTTTAGTAGGGCTGGACAATATTTCAAACGCACAGGCCGTACTTTTGCCGGGGGGTGGGTTGGGGGGTGTTATTGGTTAGATATTGGAAGTGTGGCATAAGAGCGTGTGGAGAGGGGCAGATCCTCTCACGCTCAATCTTTGAGTTGGCAGCCCTGGTGAAAACAGGATGATATGAAGTCATTTCTTGTCAAGGCTGTAAATATCACATGTATATTGTGAATAACGTGCTGCGGCTGAATATTATCAATGTGCATTTTTTCCATATTTTCCAGCCTTATTCTGTAGTTTACTGGTAACCAGTGATGAGATTTAAGAACAGGAGTGATGTGCTCGGTTCTCTAGGTTCTTGTTAAGACCCTAACAGCAACATTCTGAATAAGCTGCAGTTTCTTCGCAGCTTGTTTGTGTAGGCCACTCAAAGACCATTGCAATAGTCCAGCCTGCTGGGGATGAACACATGAATGAGTTTCTTTAGGTCCTGTCTGGACATGAGACCTCTGAGTTTTGCTATTTGATGAAGATGATAAAACGCAGATCTGGTTATAGCCTTAGTGTGACCAGCCTGGTTTGGGATAAGAAATCAGGCCTAACTGTAACGGCTCACCCTTTAACTTAGTTATTTTTTTCTGATTCTTAAATCTGAAATTAATTTGTGTTTTTATTTTAATTTGCATTTATTTTTGTTTTAGCTGCTGTCACATTATTTTAATGTTCATATTCCGGTTAATGGAAAGCACATAAAATGCTTCTACGTTTGAAATGTGCGATTCAAATAAAGCTGCCCTGCCTAACTTTGTCGGAAGACTAGTTAGCCTCAACAGCAGCAAACAGAACACGGGCATTGTTGATATTATCACTGATAACTTTGGAGAAAAAGGCTCGTCTTGCCTTCTTTGATGCAAGTACGCAGCTGCATTTTGAAGGTCTCATAGTGACATGGTAGGCTACATTTGCTCCTTTATGCTCAGCTTTCCTGCATTCTGAGTCAGTGAACCTCCAGTGAGCTTTTTGTTTGCCAGAGATAAGTTCGACCTTTTCGGGTGCAAAGGACTTTTGCAGTTCAAGTGATTTAGAAGTGGATCAACACAGCTGGTTGTTAATTTTACTGACGTTTTCTTACGTTCTATAAATGATAAATGACCCGCACTTGTATATCGCTTCTCAGGGTAAGGACTAGGGGCTGCATGACTCGATATTTTTTTAAGTCAACAGTCAAGTAATGAAAATCGAGTCGACTTTGACTAGTCGTTGATGACGTCATACACCTGAAGCGGGGGTGGGGGGTTCGTTCGTTCGTTCGCTGGAGTTTTTGACAATTAAAATTGTGCCCACATTTTCAAAGTTAAACACATCTCTTTTAACAACGGTAGTTTCTGCATCTATACTGCTCCGCTTCAGCTCTCTCCCCCCCTCCCCCTGCGCAGTGCGCCTGCAGCCTCTCGGAGTTCCTGCTGCTCTAAACATTAAAATAATTATTTCATTTTCTGTTCCTCACTTCTGATTACCTTCAATGGTGTCTGTTTGTTGCAACCACCAGGTACAAAAACTAACTTGTTTTTATTTGACTATTTTTCTGTCCTGCCTGTTTATTATCTTCCTGCATCTCCTCTCAATCCTAAAGAAAAACTGCTACCTGGCTTCATATATATTCACCTTATGAGTTACCTTTGAACTGCAGCTCTAAAAGATCTACCGACCGCAAAAACAGCGGAGCGCGCACCGGTGAGGTGATGTCACCGGGGACAAAACAGGTGATGCGCTCCGCGCCATGCATCAGGCACAAATAAAAGACAGAAAACATAAAAGGAAATGAGCAGACATAAACGATCGCGTGTTAAATTTGTTTGTGAGGTGGCGACACCTGATTTGATGATGTTACTGTGGCCGTGCTCAGGACGCAGATGTCTGGAGCGCGTCAACGATCAGAGCTTTGCATGCGCAAGCCGGTTAAGGTTAGGATGGGGGTGAGGGGAAGGTTAAATTGCAAGAGGGTAAACGCCACAATTTGGTTAAATGTCCGTTTCACGGCGGGTGTCAGTACCAACCTCCCGACACGCAGGGGCTCATCACCTGCTGTCTTTTCCGAGGACTGCATCTTGTCGGTCATTATCACGTGACAGCGACTAGTCGACGACAGGCATAAAAAGTCTCTACAGAGCAGTGAAGTCGACTAGTTCATACAACCTTAGTAAGGACTCCAAAGCACTTTACACTACAGTGTATCATTCTGCCAATCACACTCACATTCACACCCTGGTGGTGATGGGCTACGATGTAGCCACAGCTGCCCTGGGGCACGCTGACCGAGGCGAGGCTGCCGAGCACAGGCGCCACCGGTCCCTCCGACCACCACCAGCAAGCAAGGCGGGGTAAGTGTCTTGCCCAAGGACACAACAGCAGAATTCTCTGTCCGGAGCTGGGATCGAACCTGCAACCTTCTTATTACTGGACAACCCGCTCAACCTGTTAAGCTACTGCTGCTATAAAAACTGAAGCAGTGTGATCACTCAGATACCTTTTTTGGAGAACAACTGAGGTGTTGTGTGGAGCAGGAAACTGGTGTTAGACTAAACGCAGAAGTGGTCAGATAGATCTTTACATCAACATCTTTGGTTAGGATTAAGTCAGGTGTGTGAACCTTGAGTGTGTGTGTTGGATCATGTACTCGGTGTTGCTCATCAAATAGTCCGAGCGCTCCAAAGAATTTTTCTGCAGCTATATCCTCGGCACCATCAACGTCAGTGATGCATTAAGTTCTTTTTTGCGTGTACAGCACTTCGGTTTGCCTCCCAGCTGATGGAAAGCTCTTTATACATAAAGTTAATCACGATGATGAACGTGAATATTAAAGTTACCAGTTATGAGAGGTAGATGTTTAAGGTGTGTTGTCATAACAGCGTAGTACCTTCCAACTCAACCTTTCAAATACTCGCTGCTGTTAACAAGCAGCAACTGTTTATCAAATCACAAGAAAGAAAGCTCACTTAAAGGGATGCTTTGCAAATTTTTCCTATCTCTAAATCACTTTCTTGAGCCAGTTTGTGCTAAAATGACCCTTTCCAAGGTTAATGAAGACGGCCCAAACCCTATCGCCCCCTGTGGCCAGAATACTCCACTTGCAACTTCAGAGTTGCCGGTCTGATCTGTTGGGACTTAGTAAAACATTGAGCTGAGATGCCTTGCGCTGCTGTCTGGCTCCAGCACGTTTCCTGCATGTTTTAGGCTACGTTCACACTGCAGGCCTTGATGCTCAATTCTGATTTTTGGAGTAAATTGGATTTTTTTGTGTGGCTGTTCACACAACATCAAACTCTCCAGTGTGAACGCTTCACAGCCCCAAAGCGACCCGCATGTGCAGAAGACAAGAAGTCCCACAGTGGAGAAACCAGGAGTGGCGGAGTTGTGATGTGAAAGTTTTCACTGACAGTTTATCTGCAGGATCACACCTGTAAATCCTTCCGTTTTGGGCTGGAACCCGTTTTAAAAACCGTAAACTATTTTACTCCTTGTTTCCGCCGTCATCCTGAATTATTATTCACGGCGAATCCCCCTCTCACGGAGACAGAAACCGGTGAAACGCTTCACTCCAGCAGCACCTCCCGCTTCCGTTCTCATGCTCTCCTGTATTTTTAATTTCAAAACTTAAAACAGGATGTTCTGTCAGCGCTTCTCCACAGGAACATCCACCACGACGCTCACCCCAGCTAACTCAGTGACGTAGGAGACAGATTTAATGCAACATAACTGTTCAGACTGCAGTTGCTTTCAAAAACATCAGATATGTGTCAGAATTAGTGCTACTAGTGACATGGATCACATTTAAAAAAATCGGATCTGTGCCATTTAGGCTGTGATAAAATAATCAGATATGGGTCGCACGTGGGGAAAAAAGTGGATTTGATGTGCTTTTGCCTGCAGTGTGAACGTAGACTTAGATTGAGAAAACCGCTGATTTGTTTAATTCAGCGATGAATCGCTCCTGTAGACACTAATGAAGGCTGAGGAGACGTTTCAGCCGTTAGATTAAGGTGTTAAAAAGACAAATGCAAAGCGAGGAGAAATGCTTTGCTTTTGGTTCTACTAAACAAACACTAGGGGCAGCTAAAAGCAAGCCAAAACGGCCTAATCTCCCTTTAAGGTCAACGTTTAAAGATTTACCAGCCTTTCTGTTGAGAAAGTGAACGTTTTGATGTTTTAGAATGACTTTGTTGCTCTATAACAGGAAAGTCAGACATTAGGTGCCTTCAACAGCGTTTGTTTACAATGTTAAGGAAGTTATTTTTTGACTGAAAGTTAATAGCTGTGCATTACTAAGAATGTACTGACTTGTATTGTTTTATTTTTCCAACAGGCACTGGTCCGTTTCCTGCTGTGCTGGACCTGTACACGTTCGGTGGAGGCCTGTCAGAGAGGAGAGCCGCTCTGCTGGCCAGTCGGGGATTCCTGGTTCTGACGGTGGCTCTGTACGGCCACGATGACCAGCCGCAGAATGTCACAAAAGTCCATCTGGAATATTTTGAAGAAGCAATCGATTTTCTAAGAAAAAAAGAGCAGGTGTGATTTTTAGTTCTTTGCACACACAGATAAAGTTTTCGTCTTTAAACGTGAAAAGCGTAATACCACACAGGGTGAATGTTTTCTTGTTTCCACAGGCAGGTGGCAAAGGAGTTGGTGTGATTTCACTTTCTAAAAGTGGAGACCTTGCTCTGTCAGCAGCCTCTTACCTGCCAGGTATTGAGGCTGCTGTTTGGATCAATGGTTGCTCTGCTAACGTAGCGTTGCCTCTCTACTATAAGAAGACACTAATCCATCCTCCATTAATGTTTGACTCCAAGAAAATAATTCTCACTGACTCAGGGGCTGCCATTTCCAAGTATGCCATGCACGATCCTCGTAAAGAACAATACAGGGCCACCCTGATCCCGATAGAGCAAGCCAGTTGTCGTTTACTCTTTGTGGCCTCAGAGGATGACCTGAATTGGGACAGCAAGGCCTACATGGAGCAGCTGGTGGAGAGGCTGAAGCATCATGGGAAGGAGAACTTTGAAAGAGTGAGCTATCCTGGAGCTGGACACTATTTAGAGCCTCCTTATGGACCGTTCTGCTCCTCCAGCCTTCATGCGGTTGCTGGTAGACCAGTTATGTGGGGGGGTGAGCCCAGGTCTCACGCTGCAGCTGAGATCCATGCATGGAAGAAGATCCAGGAGTTCTTTAAGACTCACTTGAGCTGTGATGCTGCGAAGAGTACATCCAAGTTATAGATTCAAGCTGGATGGTTGAAAGTGTGAAGAACAAGTCACCTAAAATATGATGATTATAGCAAATACAGCCAGAAACTGGATCCGTGAAACTAAACATGTAGCGTAAAGATTCTCTTGGTTCTTTTTAAGACTCCAGCAGCAGCATTCTGATTAAGCTGCACCTGCTTCACATCTTTTTTTGGGAAGACCAGTCAAAAGACCACAGCAATAGTCCAGCCTGCCCAGATGAACGCATGAATGAGTTTCTCTAGGTCTTGTCTGGACATGAGACCTCTGAGTCGTGCTCTTTGATGAAAATGAGAAAACACAGGTTCTTTCCTCTTGAAAGAAGGATTTGAAGTTTGCTGAACTTACAGCCATTTTCCCTCCGTTTTTCTCTGTGTCTGGTGGTGACACTGGTGGTCCTGTGGCCTCATTTATCAGCCATACTTAAGAACGGATCTGTGCATATATTGTGAGTAGGAACTATTTTACGCATTGTGCGGTATTAATAATTTAGTACCTGTACGTGAAAACGTTCCTAAACATAAGTAAACTTCAGACCATGTGTAGGAACAGCATCTAGTGGTGGAACGGAGGAAATGCAACACCGAAGGTCTCAGTCGTCCACACATGTTCCTCATGTTTACCCAATAAATAAATATCGGTGCTACAATACCTGACGGGAATCTGACATTGTAGAATAGGTGTTGAGTCTTCTGTAATCACAGTTGTTACTCTTCCCATTTTTATGATGTTTTTAACCATTTTTAATTCATTAATATGATTTTTAATACAATTTTATTATATAATATTTTTGTCCTTGTGAAACTCCTCATGATTTTGCTTGAGATGTGCTGGATTAAAGATAGTTTCTTCTTATTATTGAGAGTTTGTCAGTGTGCTCTGTAGAGTAGCCTAAACGCGTTTCCAGGAGTGCACAGACAGGAGGTCCGTCTGGAGCTGTGCTGTGATTTGGGACCCTTTGTGGAGTGACAGATGACCCGCCTGAAACCGATATCAGACCATATTCTGTTTTACAACTACAAAAAACCCCTAGAACCTCCTCTGTTTCCCGACCACACCAGATCATACATGCGTTGTCAAGGCAACCAGTCTAAATGACAGCTCAGAAGAGGCTGCACTCTCAACATTTCCAAATGAAACTAACTCCAACCAGAAGGACTCCTTAAATGTCAAATGTAAATGACAACCGGTTACTTTACGATTGATTACATTAAAGTTTTTATTTATTCCTGACAGGAACCTCTCATCTGTCTCGACCATGCTTATAACCTCTGCAGCTTGTTTGATTCTTTTGCAACTCGGCAGCCCATGTTTCGATCTCGCAACAAAGTTTTCTTTGGTTTTTCCGGGTAGAATGCAGGGAATTCTACCAAATATGGTTAATTGAGAGTGTTTCTGTGGGATTTTACATCAGATGAGTTTGGATGAACATGCGTACGAGAGGCCACCGCATGTTTCATAAATCAGGATTTTGACCGTTAGACATTCTAAATTTCGTTCATAAGAAGGAATTTAGGAATATTTCTGCGGACGTTTGATGAATGAAGCCCATGGACTTATTTTCACATAAAGCTTAAAATACTAAGCCTAAAACTCTAGCTACATGCTGAAAGCAAGGCGATGAGTCATTTTTGAACAGAAGTCATTATCTTCTAGACGTTGATTTGTTTGTAAGTTCAGCGATGGCCATTCTGGAGAAAAGGTCTACAAACTTGAGAATTAAATCTAAGCCAAAAAATGGAAAAAGTATGATTAAGTTTTCAAGTTTCCTGTTTTAGCTTCAACATTTGGTCAAACCATAAAAGTTGTTTAGACTTTGTTCTCTGGAATTCAAACCAAATAAAAGGGGAGCTTTTGACTCAACTGAACACTTTTTAGGTGTTATAGCAAAAAAAGAAAAAATTAAATAACAACAAAGGAACACCTTGTTCATTTTTTAAGAATAAACCATTATTCATTAGTAACCTTTACTCTGTTTGGTAGCTAGCTGTTCTCTAGGGATGAGCGAGTACACCACTATCTATCTGTACAACCAACTAAATTATCTGTATCTGTACTCGGAATGGACGTGGCATAACCCAGAAGTGGGCGTGGTTTAACCGGAAGTGGGTGTGGTTTACATCAATATATTATTTTAAGTCTGAAATTGATATGGAATGATCAGAAGTTGATATGTGTATTGTTTATTTTAGGGATGAGCCAGATACTTGTTTTAGACGAGTATCCGGTACGGATAAAGCATTTTTGACGAATACGAGCATGAAACGAGTAAACCTCGTAAATATCTGTAATCGTGCTGAAGGAAAATCCTCATTGGGTAACTGACTGTCTTCACGCTCTGTGATTGGCCAGTCACATAGAGCGCCCGCCCCTCCCTACACACAAAACTCTAGCCGGCCGGGAGCGCAGTCCGTCCGGCTCATCCACGCACACACACAGACCGTAACGGATCTCGCTGTAATTGCTTCACTGTTTCTCACATTTCTTCAGTTTTCCCTAGGTTTTCTTCAGCTCGCCTCTTTTTCGGTTGAATATTTAAAGTTACTTTTTCCGTAACTTACATGGTGCATTTGACAAGACAGAGCTGACGTGCTGCATCAGTCACTCACTACCTCCGCTCCAGTCGTTTTTTTTTTAACTCCATCTCTCTCCCTCTCACCCTCTCTATCTCTCTCAGACACAAACACCTTAATCAACATTGTTTATGTTTAAATTTGTGTGGGGCAAAATGCCAAGAACATTAAGAAAAAAATCAGTGTAATCAAATTAAAATAAAAAAATTCATAAAGTTGTGTCTGGTTCTAGCATTTCATATTTCCTAGTTCCTACTGCATGAGTTCAGATGTATTAATCCATGCACTTTAATATTAATGTTCTGATTTTATTGAAACACTTGTTCTGTAATAGTTTTTTACTATTGTGATAACAATATTTAATCTCAATTCTGAGGCTGCTCTGTAAATAGTTTTCAAATAAACAATACACATATCAACTTCTGATCATTCCTTATCAATTTCAGACTAAAAATAATATATTGATGTAAACCACGCCCACTTCCGGGTTATGCCACGCCCATTCCGAGTACAGATACAGATAATTTAGTTGGTTGAACAGATACAGATAGTGGTGTACTCGCTCATCCCTAATAACCAACAATAACCATATTAATAACAATAACAAACACAATAGCTGAGTCTGTGTGACATCATAAAGGAGGGTTTGAACCCGGAAGATTCCATTAATTAATGTGTGTTTTATTCATATTTATATTAATACTAATTGTAGCGGCCCACTTGGAATAACCACGCAAGATGCAGAGCTTCGACTGGTGCAACTTTAATCCTCTCCTTCTTTCACCTTGCATTATGACACCGTGAAAACTATATGAACAGAAAATGCAAATATCACAGTACCATAATATTTCCACAAATAATGCATAGAAATCATGTTTACATTTTAAACTTAACACAAACAATTTTAGTAAACAAATAATGAATTTTACATGAAAGTAGCCGTTTTTAGCCGTTATAGGTTGTAGTTCTTATTTAAATAAAATAATGACAGTTTCCTTCCATTTGAAATCAAATGAACAACTCGTGAAATCAAATAAACAACTCGTTTCACACTGAATACACCATCAGTCTCCCCCTACCTCCTTCTGCTTCCAAGGGCGCTAAGTTTGAGCTCAGCCTGCTAGCAGCCTATCTTCCACACTTCATAGTGATGTCCCTTAAACATGACATACAAACAGCACAAATATGAAGCAAACCACTGTAAAATACCCTTTCACGAGTTTCCATGTAGAATATGACAAATAAATAGCATATTTGCATGTTTTACCAACTCTGGAGCAACACGAGCATGTCGTTATGATGAGCCGGGAGCTGAACGTTTAACGTATACAACAGCAAGTAGTAGAAGAACAGGAAGTAGTAGAAGAAGAGGGGGTGCTCTTCAAAATAAAAGCACAAAACGTAAAGTGACAGAACTGCTTTGTTTACCACGAACATCATTTGTTGCCATTTACACTCCCACCAAATCCTACTACAATGAACGAACGAGTACACAAAGAGCAAGTGAATTGTATAGGATTTCTTAACTCTAATAAATGAAAACCTTAAGTTGAACTATCAGAAGTATGTAGCTGAACTACAACATACACAATGAAGCCGTGCGCACACAAACAGTTGTTACTGTCTGTTCTACTCAGTTCTCAAGGAGAAGCACTAATTTTTGGATTGGTCTCTCAATAACTGAAGGTTTGGAGGGGGGATCTTGTTTTCTTTGAGGCTTTCGCTCTCCTACTTGCACTTTGACTCGATGGACTAAGCCATCGCTGTCTTGAACAGTCTCCACCACTCGTCCTAGAGGCCAATGATTTCTCGGGAGGTTGTCGTCTTTAATGATGACAATATCATTGACTCTGAGGTTACGCTGAGGTAAGTGCCATTTTTGTCTTGTGGATATGTTTGAGTAGATACTCCCTTTTCCAGCGACTCCAGAATTGTTCAATGAGATACTGAACTCTCCTCCATCTCTTCGTAGCGTACAAATCTTCCTTGACAAATACTCCAGGGGGAGGAAGAGCAACTTTAAATTTCATCGTGATGAGGTGATTAGGTGTTAATGGTTCCAGCGCTTGTGGATCATTGATTCCATCGACTGTTAATGGGCGGCTCTTAACGATGGCCATGGCTTCATTTAACAGTGTTCTGAGAGAGGCATCATCAAGTCGACCTGGGCACTGTGCAAAGGTGGCATTTAGCACATTTCTAATGGTTCTGATCTGCCGTTCCCAGACACCGCCTGCGTGGCTGGCAGAAGGGTTGTTAAAGACAAATTCGCACTGCCTCTCAGTCAGGAAGATTTCAAGTAGTTTGGAGTCACATTGTTTAAGTGCTTCCTTAAACTCATTTCTGGCACCAAAGAAGTTAGAACCTTGGTCACAATGTAGTTGTCGAACAGCTCCTCTGAGGCTGATAAAGCATCTCAATGCATTGATGAATGAGTCTGTCGACAAATCTTCGAGCATCTCGATATGGACAGCTCTAGAGTACAGACATGTGAAAATTAGGCCATATCTTTTGTATTCTTTGCAGGCTTTCTTTACAATGAATGGGCCAAAACAGTCCATGCCGCTATACGTAAAAGGTGCTGAGGCTTCAAGACGTTCTTTAGGGAGTTCAGCCATCCGCTGGTTCTCTGTCGGCCGTCGAAGTTTCCTGCAAAGCACACAGGTGCGTATCAGCTTAGCAACCAGCTTGCTCCCACGAATGATCCAGAATCCATTGGTCCGGAGCTCCATTTGTGTCTGACTTCGACCCTGATGTTGTGTCTTAGCGTGGTAGTGGGACACAATCAGCTTAGTAACATGACTGTTGTTTGGTAGAATGACTGGGTGCTTGACTTTGTGACAGAGAGATGACTGTTTTAATCTCCCACCAACGCGGAGAAGTCCTTCAGACCAGAAGGGATCAAGACTGAAGGGAGAGCTTGAGTTTTAAAGGTCTTTTCCACCTTGAAGCATTTTTATCTCATGGGAGAAGGCTTGCTGCTGTACGATTTTAATTACTGACTCAGCAGCTCTCTCACGCTCCTCTACAGTCACATGTTCACTACGTTGTGCTTGTTTAGACCTCAGTCTCTTGATTCTTGCAACTACCTTTACAAGTGTTGTCCATGATGAAAACTGACTTAGACGCCTAAGGATGTCATTGCAGTTATTAGTTTCAGCTGCAAGCACATGAATTGTTTTGACCTCAGGATCACCGACGAGTAAGTCTGTTGAAGTGCTGGGCATTAGATGTAATTCACGCTCCCAGAGAAACTTTGGTCCTCGCAGCCAGTTCGTTGAGTGA